TATCCATTTACAGAAAAATGAAACAAGATGTGTACCTCACAACATACACAAAAACTAGCTCCAGATGGATCAAACACTTAAATGTGAAACCTAAAACTATAAAGTTCCTCAAGGAAAAACTAGGAAAAAATTTAGGGGCCTTAATATACAGCATAAATAGATTATCAAGCATAACCCAAAATGCACAAACAGCAGGAGAGAAACTAGATGAATGGGACCTTCTAAAAATTAAATTTTTATGTGCTTCCAAAGACTTCTCCAAAAGAGTCGAAAGAGAATCTACAGATTGGGAAAGAATATTCAGCAATGACATATCTGAAAAGGGACTTATCTCTAGAATTTATAGAAAGCTCCTACACCTCAACAACAAAAAGTCAAATAATACAATTAAAAATGGGTAGAAGACATGAATAGACACTTCACCAAAGAGGATATTCAGGTGGCCAACAACCATATGAAGAAATGCTCATGATCATTAGCTATTAGAGAGATGCAAATCAGAACAACAATGAGATACCATCTTGCTCCAGCACTAGTAACAAAGTTCCACAAGACAGAAAATAACAAATGCTATCGAGGATGTGGGGAGATTGGGACTCTCATACATTGCTGGATGGAATTTCAAATGATTGAACCACTGTGGAAAGCTATATCATGATTCCTTAAAAAGTTGGAATTAGAAATACCATTTGACCTAGTCATTCCATTTCTAGGTATATATACTAAAGAAGTGAGACCCAGGATAAGAACAGATTTATGCACACCCATGTTCATTGTGGCACCATTTATAATAGGAAAAAGATGGAAACAACCTAGGTGCCCATCAACAGAAGAACAGATAACCAAACTATGGTATATACACACAACAGAATACTATGCAACCCTAAGGAATAAGGTAGAATCTGCAAAACACCACATAACATGGATGAACTTGGAGGACATTATGCTGAGTGAAAAAAGTGAGTCATAAAAAGACAAATATTGTATTACTCCATGATTGTACAAAGTCAAGGAAAGGTTTATATATGGAAGGACATGTTCTTTGTTGGTTACCACGGGTAGGAGAACAGGGGAGGGAACAATGTTAGATAGGTAGAGACAAGTATTGATTTGGGTGAAGAGGAGGGCAATGTATCAAATGTGAGTGGTCAACATGGTGTCATTGAGGAAGAGGAAGATACAGAGAGGTGCATAGGAGGTACAGAAAACAAAGATGAAACCTTTTGTACATACAGTACTGCATTGTCTGTGAACACAAACATTGATGGACAGGTGGATAGGTGGGTGGAGAGGCTGAACTATTAGGTATATCTATGCAGGTGGGGAGTGTACCCATGACCATGTATAGGGTTGGTAGATAATATTTCTACCAGTATATTGGTATATTCTGTAAGAATGTCCAGGTAAATAGCAGAGCTGACAAGGGACAAGGTTGTAGTCACTTCTTGGCCACAGCCAGGTACCCAGAGGGAGTGAGTAGTTGAACCTGTGGGCTTGGGACCATAGTCACAGAAGACATCAAGTTTAAGTGGCATAACATCCTACACAAAATCATTGTTCCACATTCTACTTTCATTAATAGTGACCGGGATTCTAAAAGCTTGCAAGCAGCCATCTAGATGCAACGATGGGTCTCTCCTCATCCAGAGCAAAGAATAATGAAGAAAACCAAACATGCATGGAAACAATTAGTCCAAGTGACTGGTACATGATGCAATCCTCAGCCTATAGAACTATGAGACCAGAAGAAATAGATGGTGTCCAGCTACCACTGTCAACTACTCGGAGGGGGACCTATGTAGGAGATCATGGATAGAGTGGGAGAACAGTGTGTAACAAAACTCAGAATCATTAAAAAAATAAATACATAAATAAAACCCTGAGACTATGACCCCTAGCTGCCCTTCAGGTCTGTAATTGAACCCACTCCTGTGCTGCTAACTGAACAAAAGACAGGCATATTAGCTGAAATTTTTAATTCTGTCTTCCATCGCATCAATTCTTCTCCTTTGCCCTTCCAATGTGTTATCTATTTCTGACAATTTAGTATTAATCTTTTGG